TCAATATGAGTCAATGAACACGTCATCACACTTCACACATAAAGCTGTTATTTTTAAACGATCAAAACTCTTACAATAACAATAATATTTAGGTCAGATTAGAGTTGACATGATACTAAAATTTCACATTTCCACACTAAGGAATAGACGTGATACTCAATAAACCAATTCCACTACCATGTTAATAATAAAAAACACTTTCTTTAAACAGTGGTATTTTTGATTTTCATTATTAAATAGCAGTGCTTTCTTTTCTATTCCCATGTGTCTTATATGTGTGTAATCCCTCCAGGTAGATTCTACAGTGGTCCATGGGCATATACTAGTCTATGTGTTTATATTTGTTCTGATACAGCACCAGACTGTTCTAAAACTATTCAGGAAAGGCTCATTTCCGTCCTGTTAATGTGGTTTTTAGTGTCTTGTTTCGATACAAATTTTGGTATCAATTATGCTATGTTGAGACTGCAGCCTGATGTGACCCAAATCAGATTTTTTTCATCCCTATGCTCCTGTATTAGGGATGGGCATGATTAGTCGATTAATCGATAATTGATCATTAAGAATTTCATCGATTACGTAAATTTTAATCGACAAACCGAATGTAGGTTGCTGTGTGTAGTGTGACCAAACAGGGTCTGTACATGTGTCTCTGCATCAGAAGGAGCGAGACACAAACAGTCGGTCAGTCTGCAACATGCTGAAGTGCAAATTCCACGCTTTCCGTTCAGTTCGGGACAAGTGTGAGTCCATGTGCACAGTGTACAAAGCAGCACATGTTTCGGTGTCAAGTGGGAAAAAGTTTTACCAGGTGAGAGTCGCGCAATGTGGATGACGAGTCCCCACCTCCCTCCCCCCGTACGGTGTCCTGGTTTTGACAAACGCAAATACGGTCACACTAACCTGTATTCCACTGATTCTGTCTGACAAAAGTTGACTGCATCAGCGCACAAGAGTTTTTTTTTATTTATTTATTTTTTATCGCTTAGTTTATGCAAATTAGCAATGTGGTTTTAAGTTTTGTTTCTGTGAGAGTTGCGCAAAACTGAATTAAACACATTATAATGTCAAACGGGCTGATGTGGCTCTAGAGTGTTTACGGTTTATATGTCGTAAAGTTGAATTTATTTATGCAGATTAGTAGTGCAGATAGTAATAATAATGATGATCATTTTAATATAAAAACGTTAATGACTAATTAATCGATCATTAATTCGTCCGACGACCGATTAAGAAAATTTCATCGAATGCCCATCCCTAGTCCTGTATCTGATCTTTTAATGATGATTTTTTTCAAATGTGACCCAGGCCACTTGGATATGTGCTTCTAAAACCGATACATATTCGATCTTTAGACATGCTACTTCAGTCTGAACGGACAGGTCACATTCATTCACCTACATGTCAGGCTCAGAGTCTCGTCAGTGGAGGGAAAGTGAGGTTAGTGAGTTTATTCATACTTGGGGGGATCGTGTATTCAGGCCAAATTGAAAGGGTCTTATCAGAACCAGGCAGTTTTAAATGATTTCCAAAGAAATGTCCGAGCCCAGCTACAGGCGGTCAACGAAAACTAAAGAGCCTGCGAGACAAATACAAAGAGGTTAAAGACTCAAACAAATGAAGCAGCCGTGGACGTGTAACCTGTCCATACCAAAAACCAAAAACTGGACTGTATTTTGGGAGACAAGCTCAACGTTTAGGCGACATGATGTTGTTGTGTCTCCAGTGCACATACAGGACACTTTTGGAGCTTTTAAAGTTCACACTGGAGATCACAAACAAGTCGCATTTAATTGGAAATGTGAACGACCTCGAAAAAAACTCGGATTCCCAAAAAAAAATCCAAATTGAGCATTAAGCCCTGCAGTCTGAGCGGAGCCTTAGTGTCTGATTTTCGATACTTTTGACAAGTCTGATTATTAGTTTCATTATGTGAGCAGTTAGTAATTTGTCTTTTGTTCTGTGATTTTTCTATCTCTATTTACAAAGTTGACTCCTTTAGAGGAAGCTGCAGCAGTCCCGACCTCACGACTTCAACTCTGACCCGGTGTACAGGTCAAGGGTCAACAGTTTGCAGACAGATTCATTTCACTTGACAACAGCTGTAAGTGCCATTCTGAGTGGAGTTGAGATCTTTGCGATATATAAATCACACTGCACAATTATGATTAGGGCTGTGCACAAATATTGAAAATCTGATATATCGTATTGTTTAATGTGATGATACAGTCTCGATATTTTACTAAATTATTTTGTTACAGTTACAGTTTTGTTGTTTGTTTAGAGGAAGGAAACTCGTTTATGCGACATATTTGACATTTTCACTGTTTTGAGGATTAAAATGTTTGTGTTTCATATGAGGTGAGATATGAAGCACAAGAAGTGGTTTAACAAAGACTTTTAGTATCACATTTCTCGATTATATTTACTGAACCATATTAAATTGATTTGAAATATATCGAATGGAAAGCTCACTGTATTGAGATATGTATTGTATCGTGGCCTATATATCGAGGTATGTATGGTATCGGCAACTTCTTTTTATTATTATTATTATTATTTTACTTATTTTTATTAAATAATTTTGGTGCAAGCCACATTATTATGAAACAGCAGTAAAGATGCAATACAAGTAAAATGACAATAAAGTGACAGTATAGATACAGTCATACACATTGTCTCCTCATTTATCATTCATAAAATACACTACACACACTACAACATAACAGAAAAAATCCTACAAAAGATAGTCATCCTTTTGTATCGGAAACTTCTTAATGCTTTAATTTCACAATACGATATTATTGCTATATTGTGGAGATGCAAACAGGACTGAAGAAATGCGACTTTTTGTTTTTCAAAAGCCTTGACAAGCCTTTGGAACAACATTAGTGTCAAAGTCCAAAGAATCAAGATAGAAAAGTTATTTTCATGTTTATGGAACAAAAGATCACAGTCTATGTAGTTTCCACCATTTTGTAGCTGTTGCTGCAATAAAACGATGCATATTAGCAAAGAAGAACTTACAATTTGATACAGCCCACGATATTATTCACTGATTGGCGTATGCCTGAACTTGCACTTCTGTTCGTTTTTGCAAACCATCTAGTGTATTCTGATTCCTGACCTAGTCGCTGGAGAGAAATGAAATTGAGCAGAGGCACTAGATGATGCCTAAATGTCCATAAAGCTTTATTTTAATGCTTTCGTGCAAAGAGATGACGCTGAAAATGTGACTACAGCTCTTCTAAAGGTTTGTAGTAAAGACTTTAAAAGGTGCATTGTGTAACTTTTCCGGTGAAGGGCCCTTCAAATACTTTTCATCATGGAGTTGTTATTGCTTTCTGCAGAAGTGACCTGATTGACCCGTAAGTTATAATTACAATTACAGGTTGTGTGCGTTCAATTCAAATAAGGAAACGCCGTCTATTTTAGGAGGATCTGATTTCCTGTGTCTGTGTCTGGTTACGCATCAGAAGTAGCAGAACCAACTCTTCTCAGATTCAAGATGGAATGTAAATGTCTTTAGTGATTATGATCAATGTTTTCAGTCTGTGGTTTTAATAGGATGAAGCCATTGTGTGTGTGTGATCCCAGCCTCACATGTACCAGCCTGCTCTACCACATCTCCACCTGTTTACTACAGTACACTGTCCTCACCTAACCTGACGACTACTGCACACAAAAGGTAGGCGTAATGCACAAAGCTGCAGACAAAATACTAACTAAATATTATTGACAATCCACAAGCTACAGATGATGAATGCTGCCTTTGTTACTGCAAATGTAACATTCACCCCTGTTAGTTAAAGGTCCGATATTGCGCAAAACTGACTCTCGTGAGCTTTAAGTCGTGTGATAATGTTGTTACACCGTCAAAAACACACCTGGAGTTGTTTTTATTTCATTCACACGTGTTTTTGTAATCCAGGGTTATTAGGCTGCCTGCATCTCCAAAGCTCAAAATGCTCTGTTCCACCTTCTGATGTCACGAAGCGGTAGTTTTCAAGTGAACTTTAATGTTTTGTTTCGTAGAGATTGGAAATTCCAGGGCTGAAAGTATGCAAAATATTCTAGAGAAAGTGTATGGAGCACTTTCTGTATTATCACTTGACATTACAGGTAGGAATGTGCAAAAATATCGAAATATCAGTATATCGTATCGTTTAATGTGATGATACAGTATCAATATCGCGGGCTGCTGCATCGATATAACACCAAGAGTATTTTTTGGTATATTTTACTAAATTATTTTGTTACAGAGCTACAGTTTTGTTGTTTGTTTAGTGGAAGGAAACTCATTTGACATTTAAATTTGAATTAAAATTTGAATTTATTCATGGAAAGCTAAATTTTCACACTTTTGATGATAAAAATGTTTGTGTTTCATATGACCTTTGCACAAGAGGTGGTTTAACAAAGACTTTGAGTATCACAGCCATGATTTAGACTTTATTTTTTATATCATAACGAAGAGAAAGTGCACTATAACGAAATATGTATCTTATCGTGGCCTGTGTATCGAGATATGTATCGTATCGGCAACTTCTTAATGATACCCAGCTCTAATCACAAGGGGTTTTCTGTTTGAAGGACACAGACTAAATGTGCAGGGTGAAAATGAAACAAAAGAATGAAACAAAACACAAGTCCAGGTCTGTTTGTGATAAGGAAACATAACATAGATCAGAAAATAGAGCAACATGGAACCTTTAATCTATTTTTACTTAGACTTAGACAAGCTTTTTTGGGCACAGTAGCTCACACCTTACAACATTACACATTATAAATGGTAATACAAATTCAAAATAAGCAGTAAAAATAGCAAGAGACTGGTGTCAAATAAAGTACTAATATGCAATTTGTTTCTGTGCAAGTAAAATAAAGTAAGTACAAAATAGGATGTGCACTAGAGGTGGTCTCAGAGATAGTCATCTGGTTATTATCTATTACATAAGAATGTTTGTTGAATATGATATGAATGTAGACCTGTATCTGACCTGTAAGAGTGGAGCTGTAGGAGCCTGTTGGAGAATGAACTCTTCTGTCTCTCTATACCTACAAAAGACACTCACATTATTTCAGAAAACAGTTTGTATTACTTTCACTTTCACTTCTGCACAATAATAATCTCTAAAAGTCGTTACGGATCGCTCCTGCCAAGGTCAAATCAACAGACTAATACAAGGGAAGTGTGGGCTGTACTGAATCATTCGTGGACCTCATGACGTTATGTATTTTATTTTCGTAAACACAGTCTAATCTGTATCAGCTTCAGTTTCTTTAGATGTTTAGAGGTTGAATTTGGTTGTAAAGTAAAAATATATTGGGCTATAATCAGCTCATCCCAGACACGCGACCTATGCAACACTGGCCGCCATATTGGTTATAGCGTTAATACAAATAATCGTAAACTCACGTAAACGGCTCTGGTGCAAACATTTATACAAGAACAAATGACGTGGTATATGAGCACAACTGCATTTTTATTAATTCATTTAGTTTTGAAGTTTCAGTCTGACCGTTACAAGTAGGATATACAAATCTTTTAGTAGAATATTTTCACGTATACATCTCACGGTACGATATTTATTACGATACTTTGTGGAGGTTAACAAAACTGTGAATAAGCTACTTTTTCCTTTTAAAGTACCTTGACAAGACTTAATCCAAAGAACTAAAATTTCAAAGTGCTTAGAACAGTTATTTCTTCATGTAGTCTGTGCTAAAACGGAGCAAAGGATCATGGTCTAAGTAGTTCCCTCAGTTTTTTTTTGTTTTGTTTTAGCTGCACCATAACTCTTCATTTAAAAAAAGAGACTTGTAATTCAATATATTGTGATGACCCACGATATTATTGTGAGAACTTTGACAATATAATATCATGATATTTCAGTTACTGTTAGATCTCCAGTTACAAGTTTGTGCAAAATCTTGGAGAAGCTGTTGTAAAGCCTCTATTTTTGTGCTTACTGCCTTGCACGACATTAATTGGCAAAAAAACACACATTTTAAAAGTTTTGTGTGTATAAAAAAATTACTTAATTGGCATAAACATAATAGGGTGCGGTAATATGGCCAAAAATACAATTAACTGTTAGTCTTTCAAACAAGTGAAGCTCTTTTCATTAGGTTAGGTTAAGTTATTCATACCCACAGGTAAATTTGTTTTGCAGATTTGAGTGGCAGGTCCCACATTTCACATTTCATTCATCCACATCATACACAATAAACATGTATAAAACACAGTTACAAAATAAAGTGTTACAGAGCTCCAGTGCAGAATGGATTGTTCCATCAACAAGTCGTTAAATTCATTCATCACGCTTGACAAAAATTACAATAAATATTAAATATATAAAAAACACACAATTTTTCCAAGACAAACTTACTAAAATGTATAGATAAATAGATTACAATTTATTCATAAGTATGATAGCGGCTGGAATGAAGCTCCTTTTAAAACATTGTTGAACGTTGAACAACAAAAACATTGTCATTCTTATCATATCCTATTGTTTAAGAAATTGTGAACTGTGAACTTCAGTTTGTATAGAGATCTCGTTGTAACTGCTCAATAACCCTGCTTTACAAGTATCAAAGTCAGGATCAGGATCAGTCAGGAGTCTTGATTTCAAGTTGCTAGCATTGAATCTTCGCAGTGCTTATTATTAGCAATGTAACAATATCGAAATCCCACGATAAGATATTTTCATGATATGCATCTCACGGTTCGATATTTATTGTGATGTTTTTATGGAGGTTTACAAAATTGTGAATATGCTACTTTTTCCTTTTTAAATTCTTGGAAAAGCCTTGAAAATCCTTTACTGTACAGTTATAATACAAAGAATTAAGATTTAAAAGTGCAGTTGTTTCCTCATGTCGTCTGCACTGACAACACCAAACGATCATGGTCTGTCAGACATGTCCAAACTATGGCGCGTGGGCCAAATGTGGCATTCAGACAAATTTTTCTTGGCCCTCAGGCTTCCAGGTGAATTGACCCAAATTACTTTGCATCAATTGAAAACTTTTTATTGCAAGTTTTTTTTTTGAAAAATCTACCTTGATAAAGTTAATATTCAATATTTAGTGTGTGATTTTAAGGCTCTAACATGAATAAAGACTGACAGCTCATTGCAACGTGTTAAACCTGCACATATTTTAATTATTTACTCTATTGAGCACCAGTCTAAGGCCCCCTATGTGGCCTTTGATGAAAAAAGTTTGGACATCCCTGGTCTATGTAGTTCCCTGTGTTTTTAGCTAGTGGTGCACCAAGGCAAGGCAAGTTTATTTGTACAGCACAATTCATACACAAAGTCATTCAAAGTACTTTAGAGAATAAGAAAGCCACTAAAATCACAAAGACAGACATAAAAAACACATAACTATTCATTTAAGCAATTCGTATTTGTAATAATTCAATATACTGTGATGACCCACGAGACTTTTGATGATACAAAATCACAATATTTCAGTTACTGTTACTTATTTTCCCATCAGATCAGATTAAATTTGATGGGATTTTACATGTAAAATACATCAAATCATATTATCAATGATATCATTTTTACTCTAGGTCACTAACTTGCACTAAGGAATTCCAAAACCAAAGCAAGCGTAAACAAAGCTTAGCAAGGAGCCCTAAAAAGGACACATGTGAAAGACCATACACAGCCCAGGTTAAACAATGAAAGGAATGTGCCATGTGACTTCAGATGAGATCAGCGGAGTCACACCGAAGCTCAAACCTCATGTGCATTACTGTAAGCCTGTGCTGATTCATGTAACAGAGAAAAAATAAATCGCCATCACATTCCTGCCTGTTCATTCGTCTGCTGTTTTTTCCTCTTCAAATAAATGATGTTGAAACTTTCTCTTACGGGAATCATTGCAACTCTAGGTCAATGATTATAGGAAAGCTTCTGGTCCAAGGTCAAATGGAAAAAAAAAAACCTGATAAACTCATTTAGAGCCGTCTGCAGCTAGTTTCACTTTATAGATAACAAGACAAGAAATTTTCCGAAGAATTATTATCAGGAATCAGGATGTATGTTAGTTTACAAGTTGCACAAAGAGATAAGGAAATAGCAATTATTCCAGACTGGTTTACAACAACTGACACACTTTCTGTCTGTCTGTCTGTTTTTGGAAATTTACAAAGAGAGAGAAAGTATGTTCTGAAATGGAAATTGAAAAAATAGGTGTAATTTTGTTTGCTTTTGACTTGCACTTTAATGACACTGTGATTTATCTGTTAATTATCTGCATCTTACTGTGATTGGAGTATAGATAAATGTGTGTCTTGCCTAAAGACACAAAAACAAAAGGGGAGATTGTGCAAGATTTGAACTAAAAGGTTGCTGGTTGAAGGGCAAAAACTTCTCCTTTGAAATCAAAATTGGTGCACATTTAGAAAGCGTGTTAAAGGTGCAATGTGGAGCTTTTCTTCTGGAAGGTCCACCGGCTACTTGTCTCTAAGGAGATGTAACCGCTTTACCTGGAATGTTTCACAGTATGGCATTACACTTATCTATCTTCCATTTATTCTGTTACAAAATACACAAATATCTATGTTGGAAAAAAAGTGCTTATTTTTCCGCAGCTCTGACCTGTAAACTTGGTCTGCTGGTGTCACGTGTTTGTCTTCACAGAGAAAGATATGTTTAATGCCATACTGTGGAACATTCCAGGCAATGCAATAATACTTTCCATGGAGATAGGCAGGTGGCAGACAACATATTAAAGTCATATTTATTTTACTTGATTCAAATGTTCTGATGAATGGGTCTCGGTCAAGTGGTAAAGGAGGGAAACAGGGGCAGATTTTTGACATTCAAATGTCTCTTATTCAGAAACTAGAGGGACTATTGAAATAAGTAAAGTATCAGAATGTAGGAAAGAGTTACACTCCAACAGGGTCAAGTTAAACCTGTGAGATTCTTTCAAGTTGTTGACAAAAAATTTTAAAACTCATGTCGGTAACGGAGGGAATGAAATATGCAGCACTTTTTGGGTAATAAATCCAAACTCTAGTGGTTCTCACTTACATATCCTTAAACTGGTTTGAATATTTGCTTCATATAGTTTTCTACCATATGGTACAAGATTAGGTTGAAAAACCTCTTACTTTTTGACTCATGAGATTTTTTATTAAGAAAGGTCATGGTAACGGAGGGAAAAGTAACGGAGGGAAAATTGTACAAGCAAGTAGAAGGTGCATGATTTTGTATAATGTGTTGCTTTTTTTCTTGTGAATACTTTAATATTACTTCAAAATGAAAGGAAACTATTTCTATAAAATATGTCAGTCCTTCCAAGAACATTTTTTTCATTTTAAATACATTTTTTATTTTTTTATTTTTTAATCATGTACCTTCATCAACAGTTCAAAGATGGAATAACACAAGATATGATGAAATACATCCATTTTTTTACATGATTTTCAGGTCTTTGAAATTTGGGAAATAATTTTTGTTCCATGTTTCATACATGGTCTGTTTAAAACATATGGAACTTTAGAACCAAAAATGGTACAGAAAAAATGTCAACAGTTTCATAAACTAGAGTACATATGTATCTGTTCAATACATTTTTATATCAGATGCATTAACTTCAATTTTTGGCCTTGATGTTTACTTCTGCTTGACCGGGCCCATATGCTTTTGAGAGGTAGTCATACTGTCAAACGTAGGGCTGGGCATTCGATGAAATTTTTTAATCGTCCGTCTGGAGAATTAACGATTGATTTTCGATTAATCATTAACGTTTTTATATAATAAGTATCATCATTATTATTACTATTACTAATCTGCATAAATAAACTCAACATTTCAACATATAAACCATAACCACTATCATCCCGTTTGACATTATCATGTGTTTAATGCAGTTTTGCACAAGTCTCACAGAAACAAAACTTAAAACCACATGGCTCATTAGCATAAACTAAGCGGAGGAAAAAAAACACTCTTGTGCACTGATGTGGTTCAGTTTCTGTCAGACTAAAGGACACGACTCAGTGGAATCTGAGTGTTCTTTCTGTGACAGAG